AGTTAGTCTCCTGTCCGACCGCGTGTACCCGGTTTTCGTAATGCCGTTTTTTAGAAAACGGTTTTCGCAAAACCGTATTCATCGATTAAAATAATAATAAAATTTCAAAATAGAAACCGGCTTTTCTAAAGCCGTTTTTGATTAAGATTTTAATTATTTTGAATTAATTAAAAACGGTTTTCGTAAAACCGTTTTCCCATTAATTTTTTTTTTAATTTATATTTTCAACATAAATATTTTTTGGTCAAATTTTTTTTTTAATAAAAACCGGTTTTAGAAAAGCCGTTTTTGCATTAATTTCTTTTAAATAAATATTTTATGACAAAATTTTTTTTTTAATAAAAAACGGTTTTAGAAAAGTCGTTTTTGAGTAAATTTTTTTTTTTTGAAAACGGTTTTACAAAAGTCGTTTTTTGACCAAAAACATTTTTAATGAAAACCGGTTTTAGAAAACCCATTTCATTCCTTCTCCTCCCTTACGAAAGCCGTGTTTGATCCAAACCATTTTCTTCTCCCTCTCTCAGCCGAAGAAGACCGACGACTTGATCCAACCCATCTTCTTCTCCCTCTCTCAGCCGAAGAAGACCGACGACTTGATCCAACCCATCTTCTTCTCCCTCTCTCAGCCGAAGAAGACCGACGACTTGATCCAACCCATCTTCTTCTCCCTCTCTCAGCCGAAGAAGACCGACGACTTGATCCAACCCATCTTCTTCTCCCTCTCTCAGCCGAAGAAGACCGACGACTTGATCCAACCCATCTTCTTCTCCCTCTCTCAGCCGAAGAAGACCGGCGACGAAGAGGAAGCACACCACCGGCGGAACACCTTCATCAAACACCCACTTCAGGTTTGTATCGCGAGGGATTTCATTTTAGATTTGGGATTTTAAATTTTGAAATTAGGGTTTCAGATTTGGGATTTTAATTTTGAAATTAGGGTTTCAGATTTGGGATTTTAATTTTGAAATTAGGGTTTCAGATTTGGGATTTTAATTTTGAAATTAGGGTTTCAGATTTGGGATTTTAATTTTGAAATTAGGGTTTCAGATTTGGGATTTTAATTTTGAAATTAGGGTTTCAGATTTGGGATTTTAATTTTGAAATTAGGGTTTCAGATTTGGGATTTTAATTTTGAAATTAGGGTTTCAGATTTGGGATTTTAATTTTGAAATTAGGGTTTCAGATTTGGGATTTTAATTTTGAAATTAGGGTTTCAGATTTGGGATTTTAATTTTGAAATTAGGGTTTCAGATTTGGGATTTTAATTTTGAAATTAGGGTTTCAGATTTGGGATTTTAATTTTGAAATTAGGGTTTCAGATTTGGGATTTTAATTTTGAAATTAGGGTTTCAGATTTGGGATTTTAATTTTGAAATTAGGGTTTCAGATTTGGGATTTTAATTTTGAAATTAGGGTTTCAGATTTGGGATTTTAATTTTGAAATTAGGGTTTCAGATTTGGGATTTTAATTTTGAAATTAGGGTTTCAGATTTGGGATTTTAATTTTGAAATTAGGGTTTCAGATTTGGGATTTTAATTTTGAAATTAGGGTTTCAGATTTGGGATTTTAATTTTGAAATTAGGGTTTCAGATTTGGGATTTTAATTTTGAAATTAGGGTTTCAGATTTGGGATTTTAATTTTGAAATTAGGGTTTCAGATTTGGGATTTTAATTTTGAAATTAGGGTTTCAGATTTGGGATTTTAATTTTGAAATTAGGGTTTCAGATTTGGGATTTTAATTTTGAAATTAGGGTTTCAGATTTGGGATTTTAATTTTGAAATTAGGGTTTCAGATTTGGGATTTTAATTTTGAAATTAGGGTTTCAGATTTGGGATTTTATATTTTGAAATTAGGGTTTCAGATTTGGGATTTTAAATTTCGAAATTAGGGTTGTAAACTTTTCATTCAACAACGGCAGAATTTTTTGAATAATTTTCTCGTCAGTTCCATGATATAAAAATGATATTTGTGAATAATTTTTCAAATTAATTTGATAGGTTGTGATCATATATATGAAAATAGTTTCTATGATATTTTAAAGAATTTTGTAAGATTGACGAAAACTTAGTGAATATTAGGAGCTGTAATGATGAATAAATCAATCAAATGCCTATATTTAGATGAATAGCATGATGATTCGAACCATTTCTTCCTAATAACAAGCCAATATCTTATTGAAGACCTAACAACCACCTTCAAAATGAAGTATGTCTTGAGATTTATCATACAGAATGTGATTGAAATATAGATTCAAGGAAAAGAAAGAGAGAGAGAGCTTACATGTGCAAATGTAGTTATATAAATGTATCAAGAATAAGAGCTGCAAAAGAGAAACCCAAAGAAAGAGAAAGCTCTCTCGCAGATACAAATTGGTGTGAGAAGCGAAGCAAATATAAGCTCACAACCAATATAGGAGAGAGAAGTGCAAAGATGATTCTTCAGTTCTCTCTCTCTTTTAGAACAAAGCTCAAGATAATCAACAACAAATGACAGTTTTTCTAATTAATTTGAGAGAGAGAGAGAGAATTGCTGAGTTAGGGATTGTCAATGAGAGTGTGGTGGATTAGCTTAAATAGAATGGAAAGGAATGATTGGTAATGATTTGCTCTAGTTGAAAAGTCAGGTTAGGGTGTCAAAGAGGGACAAGTGCACATAGAAACATATAATTAGAGAGAGAGAGAGAGAATCCATGTGAAAGGAAAGTGAGGTGGATTACGATGATAGAAGAAGAGAAAGAAATGGATGGTAGAGATTGGTTTTTATAGAAAAGAGGTAGGGGTGTTGAAGAGGGACAAGTGCACATACAAACCTATAGAGATATAGATAGATACAAAATAGTCAAAAGAGTATTATCGGCCACGTTTTATATTGATTCATTCAACTCTTTATTTGTTTCTTAGCTATTCACACATGCATCCCTACCCTATCATTACACAAATTTTTCTCCTATGTTTCTGCCCAACTTCCGGATATGGTAAGAAACACTCCCCATGCAAATATGTCTCCAATCTCTCTTTCTCTCTCTCTAGAACTTACGTATATCGCACGTCTCTCTCTCTCATCAATTGATATACGCGGCAAATACAATTCTTAACTTGAGAATTTGATGCATATCGGATACATGCTTGCTATAGAATTTTTGAAATTTAGGAAAAACAAGATAAATGTTAAAACATTAATAGATGTAATACGGCATGTCTTTAGAATCATGTGAAATTTGATCGAAATATGAAAAATGACATGGCCAACAATATTCATTGCTTCGTCATGGCATACGATGAATTTTGGAGAATTAGTATTATTACCAAAGAGAATATCTTTTTATTAAATTTGTTGTTGTTGTTTGTGTTCGAATGTTCATCTCATTACCTTCCCTACATCAATACCTCTGAGACCAATTACCGTAAGGGGCCTATGGTGGCTGTATTGCTGTCAAGGGAAAGACAGGGCAAGGGTAGTTAAGTAATTCATTTTACATCATGAAGGGCAATAGAGTAATTTACTTATCAAAGTTAACATCGTCAATATTCTACTTGTTAAATATAGTAACTATATATTTTATCTATTATACATACCATATTATATTCATTACTATACTTAGATTTATCTCCTTCTATATGAAGCAATCTTGTATACATTATTACAACATTTAATATGATACAAATTTCTCTTTCTCTCTCTCTCTTACATATTCTAATATAGTATCAGAGTTAGGTTAACTACTAAGTAATTTTTTGTATAAATCCTGCGTTGGGATTGATCTCTCATATTAGTTAGTCAATACGGCCGGATATCAATCCAAATATATATATATATATATATATGTATTTTTGAGATCATATTAGTCAGTCATTACGGCCGGATACCAATCAAAAAATATATATTTTTTTGTAAGTGGGTTGAGGAAAGATTAAAAACAAAGGACAACAATGAGTTGCTTGGAGTTTTTGGTGATTGAACATCACATTGTTGTCCTCGAACCCCCTACGGCCATTGATGGACACTTGGACTTCATAATTTTCTGAGACTTTACCTGTTGAGTGATCAACATGGAATTAATATGCCAAATGACCGAGGAATGGAGGGCTATATTTTAGAAGATTTAATTTTAATTTCTACATTTGGATTTTAAATTTGTCAATAGAAATGGCAAGAAAAAAAAGAAAAAACAAGATAAAAAAATTCATAATTCTACAAGTTTGGGAATAACAAATGCCTTCAAATAATAATATAATAGGTTTGAGAAAACTTCACAACAAACTTAACATATTTTTCCTTGTATTTTAATTACTTTTTTGTTAGTACATAAAAAGAAAATTATAAATATGTGCAAGAAAGATCCTCAAAACACATATAAAAAGAAAAAGCCCACATCTACAAAGGGAATCAAACCTTTTTTGAAGAAAGGAAAATTCTATAATTCAGAGCCTCTAGATATAGAAGTATGGCCCGTTTGGGCCAAGCCCTACAATAAGCCCACAATTTTCTTGTATGAGCCCACAGCCTAGCCCAACCCATTACATCGTATGCAATGACAACAGATCTAAATCGAGCCCACAGCCTAGCCCAACCTACTAAGCTTTTTTTTTCTTTCTTTGTTTGTTTGTTGTTAATTTTGGCTAGTACTTTGTTCGGTGGTACTGTATGGGTGTGCTTATGTGATGTCAAACTTGGGTTATAAATTGATGTTAAAGAAATCAAATGTTGTTATTAAAATGTGATAATTTTAATAATCTTCTCTAATAGGATCAAAATTCCGTTTCCCTACGTTCTTTCGGTTAGGTTGGAAATGAAAATAGAATTGGAAACTTTTTAAACTTTTTGAAAAGTTTAAAAAACAACGAAAGGATTTTTCAGACACTTTCAAATCCTTTTGTTGTTTTTTAAACTTTTCGAAAAGTTTAAAAAACAACAAAGGATTTGAAAGTGTCTGAAAATATTTAGGAAAAAAAACAAAAACTTTGATTGATGTTAATAAATTCTCAATAGTTAATTACTTAAACATGTTGAGTGTTATGCATGCTTAGTTGGATAAAGGGGTTTCCCATTTTAAGAAAAGTATATTTAAGTAAATTGCGAAATTCTTGTAACAGTAGGTATGGAAAAATAAACAATCGGTGCATTGCTCCTTAATGGATTTTATACTACGAGCACAATTGGTAGCTAATTTGTTCTCACAATAAAGTCTCAAAAAATCTTTTTTGGTTGGTCTTAATTGTTGTGGTGATTTTTAGCCAAAAGACCTATGCCTAAAGGCACTCCTGTGTAATATATGTGGTGTTTGGTCTCAAATGTGCTTACTTCATTATTTTGAAATAATTGAGTTACTTTGAATGCAAAGTGTAGGTATGGAAGTTGTGAGCATTATGTTCTATTGGGGTGGAAAGATTTTGAGCAATCACGATGAAGGTGTGTCCTACGACATCGAACCTCAGGGGTTGTATAATGTGTACAGGGGGAAGTGTGTTGGATTGAACTAGTTTATATTTTATTGAACTAGTAGGGTTAAGGGTAGTTTATATTTTATTGAACTAAATCAAAGATAATGAGACCTTAAGTAATGTCTTAGAGCTCCTACATAAATTAGGCCTTGATTATTTTTTGGAAATCTATGTGGAGAAGGAGAGCAATTTTGGTGGCACAGGGATGCCATTTCCGGTGGGTGGGACATTCACTCAAATGTTGACACAATTGCAATCCCATGACAATACACTTACACAGTCTACACACATGTTCCATGCAGATTACCCTCTAGGTGGGACATTCACTCAAATGTTGACACAATTGCAATCCCCTGACAATACACTTACACAGTCTGCACACATGTTCCATGCAGATAACCCTCTATTCAATCATTCTCAGAGTTACAATGAATTAAATGCATCACAGAACGTAGATGGTTATTACAGTGCCAGAGCAGGTCCAAGTGCTCCGACAACGTATAATCCGATGGTTCTTACAACCCCATATCCCCACTGGAATGAAGAATGTCCACCGGTTTGTAATGTTCAACGTACACCAGAGACGGCTGTCCAAAATTATGCATACTCCGATAATACAGTGCCATTGTCTGACGAGGTTGGAGTAAGTGATGAAGATTCCATGGAAGATTTGGATGTCGCATGGGAAGGTGCAGACAATGACTCCGGCGATGATGAAGTTGGAGGGCATCATGATATGCAGGAGGTACACACAAATGTCCATGTCCCTTTCTACCATAATTTGCATTTGGACAATGATGGTTCCATCACTAGCCGTGATGTTGTCGAACGTTGGCCATTGTAGGACTTCGAAACTGCTCATTTGGAGAAAGGAATGATATTTACTGATAAGAAAAGACTAGTGCACGCTGTTCAATTGTATAACCTGAAGCGCAATCGAGAATGCAGGGTTGTAGAATCCAAAGGAAACAGTTGGGTGGCCGAGTGCAAGCACGGCTGCAACTGAAGGGTTCGGGCAACGAAGTTGAAAGACAAAGATTTCTTTCAAATTAGAAGGTTTGAAGCGCCACATCAGTGTGTGTACCCCAGAATGAATAGGGACAATTGTAACCTCAAGTCCGAGGTCATTGCTCATTTCATCAAGGCACAAATTGCGGTAAGTGCCATGGTAGATAGATTATTGCTTGCTGCTTCTTCATTCTGGTTGCTGCCGACTGTGTGTTGCTACTGCTGGGTATGAATTTTATGGTCTTAAAATAGCTTTGGATGTGTCAATGTCTTAATAATTGGTCTTAAAATAGCTGATAATTGGCTACTGCTTCTTCATTTCTAGATTGATCAAGGTCTTAATAATTGATCTAGGTTAACATTGTTCACTAGCAAAATGGGCATATGAAGTTGCAAAGTTAGACATAATTTTTAAAATCTTCTCCAGAGGCTTTTAGAAGTTCAAACCATTCTGACGACATGTGAATTTTTGAATTTTTTGCACACCTCATAGTTGATGGTGAGGAGGTTTAAGTTTAAAAAGTAGTAAGTAATAACTAATTGTTAGTATGTACCCATTTCAATTGCATATTGGTCCCTTGATCTCTGGTTTTTTCCTTTGTAGCCCTTTTGTTTCATATCTGCAGGTGACTGATTACCTCATTTTTTGGGGGTCTTTTATAGCTTCTTGCTTCATCCCCCACTGCAAAGTCTCTATGTCTACAGTATAATTCCACAGAACCAAATTCAGTAGATGAAGAAGGTTAACCCACAAACGCTGGTCAGCATCCCTCCTGTGGAAACCAATTCCCTCAACAAAGAAAGTTGCTGGCTCAAAATCCCACCAGTGGTGATTGACGCAAATGATTTGTTATGTGATGATCAAACTGCAATAGAATCCTAGCCTCCAGAAAATAGTGGAAAACATGAGGGTATTCCTGTGACAAATGGAGAGTTAAGATCTAGGGAAGATATAACTGTCAATGAGAGTTAGAAATCTGCCCGGACAGCTTCTTCTGCAGCAAAGCAGGAACGTGCAAAGAATGGGGTACAAAACAGACCTGCAGTGCCAAGTTACATGGCAGCAACTGAATCTGCAAAAGCAAAACTGAAAGCACAAGGCTCGCCAAGGTTGGACCAAGATGGAATTGAGAATCATAATCTCAGTAGGCGTCATTCTTTGCCAGCTTCAACTAACAAGAAAACAAATTCGCCGTCGCCAAGGGCACAGAGACCAATACATTCGGGTGGAAACAAAAGTGATAGATCTATGTTGTCATCTAGAGATGGAAATGGTAAGAAATGAAAGAACTCCAACCAACCTGCTAAAAAGTAAGTTATATTCGGCTCTTGCATCTAACATAGCCCACATTCCATACAGGCATCTCATTCGCTCTCTCTGTGTCTATCTCTCATGTTTTTATGTCCTTCACACTCTCCTTATTGTTTCTCTACTTTTGTTCAAACCAGGAATTCCAAGCTTACTCATATGCTGCAGAGCTCTCTAGGTGAGGTTCTTTGGTGTTTTTAGTATTTTGCTTCGTTGAAGTGATTTTTGTGCTTTAGAATCCACTTTAAATGCTGTAGTGCCACTTATAATCTGCCATGCCGCTGTTGTTCAGAAAGTATACTTTTCGTAATGAGAAAAATGAATGAGTAATTGATGTGCTCAATTGTTTATAACTTAATTGTCGGGAATTAACTACATTGGATCCTAATCTAAAATATAAATTTTTGCAACGGAAAGTCAATTTCTATCTACTGCCTTTTGTTCAAGTAAAAATTACTGGAACTTGAAATGCAGCAGGAGATTGCAAGACCCTGATGTATGTCCAGATCAGCCCAAGTGCTACTGATTTGGGAGAAACTCTGTGCTCACTTAATTTTGCTAGCCGTGTGAGAGGGATAGAGCATGGACCTGCTCGTAAACAGGCAGACCTCACAGAGCTTGTCAAATATAAGCAACTGGTATGCAGAAAGATAACTTCTTTTCCAAGAACTATTATTTTTTGTCAAAAGCTGTTACAACTCATGATTATAAATTTAAAACATGCAGAAAAAGCCAAGCATGATGAGAAGGAAATGAAGAAATTGCAGGATAGCTTGCAGTCGTTGCAATTACGACTTGGTTCTACAGAACACTTCTGCAGAAGTCTTCAATAAAAGGTATTGTTTTAAGGCAATTTGTATATGGATGTTCTAACAAAGGAAATGGATGTTTTATTTATTGGCTTGAAAGATAGGAATCGAGTTTTAAGCCAATTGTTCTTTGAATTACTCAACAGGTTCGAGATCTTGAGAACCAATTAGCTAAGGAGAGAAAAACCAGACTAAAACAAGAAACTAGAGCTTTGGCTGCTGTTTCTGCTCAGTCTCCGGCTTTGTCAGCTCTAAACCAAGCACAGAAGACCATAGCAGAGAAAAAACCACCATTGGGTCCCTCAAGATTGAGATTGCCTTTGCGAAGAATCACCAATTTCTTGCCCCCGCCATCACCACATCACAAGACCAGCACTCCCACTTCTTCTATTCTCCCTGTCTCAACAGATGACAAGGAAAACATATCGAACACAACCAAGACAAAGGCATCCTTGAAAGCAAGACGTGGATCCATTGCTGTAGACCTCCTCCTCCAGTAACAAATCCAGATTTGACCAATGCAAATTGTACAATATGTTTGAGATATCAGACAGGAGAAGGATGCAAATTTAGGTCTTCTAAGAAAAAAATGATAACTATACTAAACGCTCTTCTGCAAGAAAAATAATAATGATTCTATTAATTTTGGGTCCATGTTATATTTCTTGTGTTAACTTTTATGTGTTATGGCTTGTTGCAGGTTGTGTTGTCCACTCTTGCTTTCACAGCATTTGAGCTTCCCCCTAATGGGGCTATTGGAACAAGAATATTGGAGTTCCTTTTTCACTCAAGGCCTGATTTGGTGAGAATTTTATTTATTTATTTTCGTTAATGTCAGTAAATCTAATCCTGAAATGCACTACCATTGTTGTGTCCTGCCTTGTTTTTGGTGGGAAATTTGGCAATTGAAAAACTATTGTTGTGGAGTTCTCATGTTGTGATTTTGCCAACTACTTTGAAATTTTTTGTCCTATTCTACTTGCAAGCTTAGTTTAGATGGGGCAAATTACAGAAGTACTCCCTGATAGGCAATTTATTGAAATGCACCTGATTTGTCATGAGTTTTCTCAAATCTGAAGTAGCTAAAATTGTTTGGGTTCAACCAAACCCCTTGAAAACAGTCCCCCTATAATGTGATACCAATGGTGAGACAATGGTCCGTTGGTAGGGCCCATATGGATGTTTTCTTTCTCCTTTTCTGAGCATAGACTTTAAGGTGTCAATCCCCATATCAGTATGTGAGTTAGTTACTGCTGAATCATTTATTATGTTCATCTATATTTCAAATTCTCTACAAAACTTTTTGTTGACACTCGGATAAACTTATAGAAATTGTATTTACCATGTGGTGATCCATGTTTGAACATTGAAATTTCATGTATTTGTTTGATGTTTTGATTTCAAAAATTTGTATGTGAACATCAGGAGTGTTGATGAGGCTTAATTTTCCTGGAAAGGTTTAATTTCCATGGAAAAAAAAAAAAAAAAAACTGCCTTCTCATGTTTCCTTGTATTTAGAGATGTGTGCGTGTGTGTGTGTGTGTGTTTTTGTGACATGGTTAATACTGAAAATTTGAAGTTTTATTGTTTTCAGATAATTGAAAACATTTTGGTTAATTTGGGGCGACATTATTTGGATTTTTAATTTTTTTTTTGTTTATTTACCTGTTTTTTGCTTTTATGTATACTTCCAAATTTTTTTTGTTCTTTTTTTTAATACAAAAATTCAATTGCGTTTATGTTTGGTGGTGATGAGATAAGTTTAAGCTCTGTTTGTTTGAACTGCAAATTAATGGTTGAAATTTTCACATAGCGAAGAGGATGTTTTTGAGGTTCCAATTGTGTTCATGAATATCACGTCGATATGTCATGAATTTTGCAGGAAACATTTCTGTGTGTTGTTGTTTTATTTTATTTTATTTTTTTGTTAGTATGTATCAGTTTAGTTGGATTTTTTTGACAAAAATATTATTCCCTTGGCAATAAATTGAGCCTTCAATATTAAGCCTTTGGGCATTTTTGAATGAGGCAATCAAATTAATACAATGCTCTCATTGGATTTGAAAATATTAATTTAATATGGGTGGCTCAAGTTCCATTTGGCATCAGGCACTTTTGTTGTCAGTAGTTTCGACCGAGTTCCCTTTCTAACTGCCTCATTGTGGAGACATTTTAATCTGAGTGAACTACTTCCCAGGGAAACATTAAAAGTTTTCTCAGAAAATTATTTGAATAATGGGTGATATTGGAAAATTTTATTTAATTGGAAGTTGGAAATGGAAAATTTTATTATTCAATTGATTCCGCCCCAACCCCCCCTCCCTAAAAATGAGTGCTTACACTGATATTCAATTATTTCATTGACTAAAATTACTAAATGGACAAATATTTTTGTGCAACTTCATTGAATGAGCTATTTTTTTTCTCTATTCCTTCGATAGGCAGTCTTGTTGCAGGGATTGTGTCGAACACATGCTATTCCCTTATCTGAATCATGTTGTGTTTGGGATGATACTCACACATATTGAAGTATCCATGTAGACTCTTTTTTTTTTCTTTTTTTTTTTAGAAAGTGTTAAATTGTTGACTACTGACTCATCTAATTAAGCTGTTAGAGAGATGAGTAAGTATATTTATGTCCTCCACACATCTCCTCACGTGTGTCAGGCTTTCCTCCATAAGTGGGTCAAAGACGTGCAAGTATTATAATTATCAGGATGATCATGGAATATTTTTCTTTAAAGATGATATATAGTAGTTGTTTGGCATGTGTTAAAATAGCACATACTATTATAGCACATTATCCTATTTAGGTCACAATCATCTTATTTAAGTTACATCACATCTGTACCACATCACTTCAAACCCAACCCATATTTCATTTTTTTCATAAAAAGTCAAAAAGTATACTAATCTTGTACTTCTCAAACAACCCATAATATGGGTATGATCCTTTTTGTTAAGTACCTTAGTATGCTCACTTTTCTATTCTCATAACGGAACAAAGACATTCTTAGGACTCATTTTTGTTAATCCAGAGCTTATTTGAGGCAGCTCTTTTAAAATGCTTCTGACTTCTGAGCTAAAGCAAAGGTGTTTAACTACTTATATATAAATCAACAAATAAAAAATATGATAAATGTAGGCTGGGGTTAGTCCAGTTATCTGATAGGGTTTATGTTGTTTCTTCGCATCTGCAGACAAGGACAGGGAATTGGGAGATGCACATGCAGAAATCAAGGCATTAAAGTACTCTGAACGTGTAAAAGAGAAGGCAGTAGAAGAGGTATGTTAATTGGTTTTAGCTCCAAGAGTTTGCTCATATCTGTACCTTCTCCAGTTAATTTTTCTATATCAACAAGCAGGGTTACCTATGTGTTGATGGATATGAAATCGTGGCCTTTCTCTGACTCTATGGTCAATCCTCATATTTTCTTACCAAGAATTTCTAGTTTTGATGGTACTTCTTCAGCTGATTGACAATGACAAATTTCGTTGCAATAGAACTAGAACTTATTTTTCTATAGCTCTAATAACTCATTTGAACAACATGAATTTTGTTAATCACTAATATTCAACTAAAGGAGTCAAGAAACACTAATATGCATCATTTCTTGAACTTGAACATGTTTTAAATTCAGATATCCATATTCTATTGAGAGCCCTCCCGAGGAGCTGAACTACATTTTCATGGCTGATGTGATGGGAATCTCTTTTGAGAGGCTTCATAATTAGGCTTGTTTATTCATCTCCTTGCACCAAAAAATATATTCTATTAGAAGTTCACAAGATTAACAAACTGAGGAGCATCTCAAAAAAAAAAAATGTTTAAAATTTAAAAAATATTCACTAAAAAAAAAAAAACACACAAAAACCAAAAAACTCAAACCAAACACACTGTTATCCTGACATCTCTATTCAGTTTTTCTGCTGGTAGTTCTTGCCGTTCATTAGCATCATTTATTACTTCGAATAAGATAGTTCACTAATTTGTGGCACTTCTCGAACTGTAGGCAGAAATTAATTATTTGGGGCAGCTATATCATCCAAATCTTGTGAAATTGATTGGATACTGCCTAGAGGATGATCACCGGCTTCTAGTATATGAGTTTATGCCCCGGGGCAGCTTGGAAAATCATCTATTCAGGAGTGAGTTTTTAGGGTTCGTTATTTCTTTAGCCAATTTCACATGTTCTCCTGTTGTTTTCTGGGAGGGTGAACATTTTCATGTACTTCAATACTTTACATTAAAACATCAGGTGTTGTTTGAACAGGAAGTTCTTACTTCCAACCGCTTTCTTGGAGCCTCCGTATAAAGGTTGCACTTGGTGCTGCCAAGGGACTTGCATATCTTCACAGTCCAGAAGCAAGAGTCATATATCGTGATTTCAAAACGTCTAATATCCTGCTTGATTCTGTATGAGAAATATTCTAATGGTTTAATTGTGTCACTTTAGCAAAAAGTTCAGCTAGTTCTGCTCTCTCATATACTTTCTATTTCTAACTGATAGAACTACAACGCAAAGCTTTCTGATTTTGGGTTGGCAAAAGATGGACCAGCAGATGGTAAAAGCCATGTATCTACAAGGGTCATGGGCACATTTGGATATGCTGCTCCTGAGTACTTGGCAACCGGTATTCTAAATTCTCAGCTGTGTTCTTTTTTTATTTTTCATGTCAAAAGATCTTTGAGGCATGCTATGCTCTTTCTCAAACCATTATATCTTATGATCTTCTTTTCTTTTGTGACTCCACACTGCTACTATTAGCGGCACTGATTTCTTTGCTTAGGTTTGTGTGTCTGTCTTTTTTATTCCAATCTTTGGCCTTTGTCATTTGGAACAAATATACAATTATTTTCACATGCTTATATGAAACCCTGTACATCAAAAACTAGTGACCTATGTTGACTTCTAAAGATGGTTAGGTCTGGGTGGTTGTATCTTATTATCCTTGACGTCATCTAACACTTGTCATGGCAACTTTGTTTTGCTTTTCCTATAATTTGATAAATACCTTTTCGCCTACAGGTTGAGATCATCAGTATGATGAGTGAGCACCTTTCGTTTTGTTTTTCTATTGCCATTGCCAATTATATTTTTCCCCTCTGAAGACTTTGATAGAAAGTTCTATCTCCATAACTCTTCCACAAATTGCCTTGATGGCATTATTATCTTATCTTCTATATTATCCATTTCCAACTGTATATGGCTCTGGTTCTTGCTGCAACTAACATTGTAGTGTTTATTTCTGGTTCTTCTCAATTTCATTCTCTCTCCACTGATCCGTAGTTCATTCTCTTCTTATGAAGGTCATTTAACTGCCAAAAGTGACGTCTACAGTTTCGGGGTTGTTTTCCTTGAAATGCTGACAGGCAAGCGATCGGTTGACAAGAACCGTCCAACTGGGGAACATAACCTTGTTGAATGGGCAAAACCTTACCTAACTAGTAAACGCCGGATTCTTCGTGTTATGGATTCCCGTATTGAAGGCCAATACTCGTTGAGTGGAGCACTAAGAGCCGCTACCCTTGCAATCAAATGCCTAGCCATTGAACCCAAGTTCAGGCCGACCATGATTGAGGTTGTGAAAGCATTGGAGCATCTTCAGGACTTAAAAGACCAAAATTATCACAGCAATGCAAGCGGCAATCCTGATTGTCGCACGAAATGTGCTGATGAAGGTTGCGATGGAAAAGCTGCTTCTTATCCTAGGCCTTCTGCTTCCCCTATTCATGCTTGAAAGATATGAGGGACCAAGTTGCCTTCGCAATTGTTACTTAAACAGGAGTAAAACAATGATGTAAGAAAGAAGATTTAAGCTGGAATTCGGACATATATTACACCAAATATTGGCTGATTACTGTACAGTTCTTATATTTAATTTGGCTCATGTATCTGTTATTGATGTTTCTTTGAAATGTTGTTATACTTTTGTTGTATTGTACCTAGAATATGATTATATGGATACTTGAGGAGATTAGGGATGGGGTGTTTTGTGGATAGTTGACCTTATCTTTATCTTTAGTTGTGGGATAGTGTTATACAGAAACAAAATTTACAAATTGATGTGATATTATATTTGTAAATTGAGCCATATTTCACATTTTTAAGGTTATATTACTGCATAATTACACCAGTTTGTAAAAAAAAATATTTTGTATATCTGTTGGCACCAGAAATAAATATATATTTTTTTGTTATTATTTATAATCGTAGGACACATGGTATTGTGTCTGCACTTTGAGGTTAAAGGAAGTTATGAAAATATGGAGTATATGTGGAAAAGATGATGGTGAATGTTGAGAAATAAGGAGCTTAAAGTGGAGGAGGTAGAGGACATGGAGGGCCACATCACGGGAAATTTTATTTTCACACATTAAGTTATCTCAATGCATATATTTAATAAAATATTATTTTAATGACAAATCTTGCTTGGTTTTATTTTTTTAAAAATACTTTTCAGAAAATTTTACTTTCTTATTTTTCGTATTTTTTTGTTTTTATCGAATTTTTTTAATATTTTAAGTAATTTTTTAACTTTTTAGACACACCTAACATAAATATACTTAAAAAGTAAAAAAAATGTAAAAAAAAATCTTTTAAAAATTCATTAAATACTAAAAATACAAAAAAAAAATATAAGAATTAAGTACATTTTTTTGTATTTATTAATTTTTTAAAATATTTTTTTACAAATTTTTTACTTTTTAGAAACATCAAAGTAAGGTGCATCTAAAAAAGTAAAAAAAAAATGTATAAAATTTAAAAAATATTCACTAAAAACAAAAGAATACAAAAACCAAAAAACTCAATTTTCAAAAAACTTAATCCAGAAAACTCAAACCAAACACATTGAATTATATTCGAAACTAAAATGACCATACTAGACATCTACCGACACTCATAATATTATATGAAAATATTCTCTATACACATCTTTTAAAAATAAAAAAATAAAAAATTCAATGTACACTTTTTGAGTAAAAAAAAAAAAACTAAACCTTAGTTTTTTCATTGTTGTCACTTTATTTGCTACACACTCTATACTCCTATATTGCTTGCAAAGCAATACTCTCATAACAACTCTCATATTGTTTTAATCTCTAGGTTTATACTCTATTAGTGATGAAAATGTTAATTTTTTCGTGCCGAATTTTTTTTTCCCCCTTTCGCGGTTTTCGGTCAGACAATCAGTGCTGAATTATTTCATTATATTTGGACATCAACTACCGAAAGTTTTTTTTTTTTTTGGAACAAATTTGTCGAACTAATCACTTTTATTCAGAAGTTAAGTTTCAAATTAAATGTATAATTTTGGAAAACCAGTGCCAAAATCCCCAAACCGAAAAACATTAAAAAAAAAAGAAGAGGATTTTACGGAAATAGAGTGCACAGAGATTTGGAAATGGTAAATGCAATAACAAAATGGCCAATGCTATAATAAAATGGAAAGAAGTCTCATCTTTAACAATATTTTAGAAGGTTTTCAATAGTGTTTTCAATGGAGGTTCAATAGAGTCTTCAATAGAGGATTTTGCCTTCACTTCACTTTACTTCACGTTGTGGTCTTGAATGGTCTTCACGTGAGTCTACAATGGATCTACAAATCTGGAGGTAGGTCACTTAACAAGTGCTGGAAATGAAGGTTGATTGGTGTATACAATGATTATAAGTGAAGGGTATAATTGTAACTTTTAGTATGTGGATTGAAAAAATTAATTAATAAGTGTGTGTACTGAGAGAAAATATGCACTAAGATAATTAAGTGTATGAAAATAAAATTTCCCACACATAACAAGACAAGAATGAAGACGGGAGAATTAGGGGTGAGCATTCAAGCATTGTCTTGGGAAGTTGTAAGCCTTTAAGGCATTTACTATCTGTTTAACTTTTATTTCATAATTCTCGTTATAACACATATTATAGATTCGGGGTTAGAACTTATAAATATATAATCGCATGTTTTATCTTTTGTATATCTGAATCATATGAAATAGAAGGACATTATAATTAGAATACTTGTCATTTATTTATTATTGAGAAAAGAGTTTATTACCATTGTAAACACCCCATTTTTGACCGATCTTAAGACTCAGACGTCATCGATTGAGCGCTCGGTGATTGCGCATGTTGTGCTCGTTCTGAAGTTACAGAGTCTCGGCTGAGAGCCTTGCCTCCGGACTTCGGGACTCTTTTGTGCTTTGCCTCAGTTTGCGAACCAGGTTCTGTTTTCTCTTCCCGAAGGGAGGGAGAGGTCTCGTAGGCCATCTCTCAGTGGCCGTAGGCTACTTTTCGTGGTCGCAGACCACTGTTCCCGTTTGGAGACCAGTTTCCTATTTTCGGAGCCGTCGGCCGTGCGCCTCGGTTTGGGACCGCTTAACTTTCTTCATTTGACACGATTTTTGGAGAGCTTAAACATTTTGAACCTTCGTTTTAGCTTCTTAAAGAAGCTTGAACCTTTTTAATCTTCGTTTTAGCTTCTTGAGGAAGCTTGAACATTTTGAACACTTGTTTTAGCTTCTTACCTTTTGAACCTTCGTTTTAGCTTCTTGAGGAAGCTTGAACCTTTGAACCTTCGTTTTAGCTTCTTGAGGAAGCTTCAACCTTTGAACCTTCGTTTTAGCTTCTTGAGGAAGCTTGAACCTTTTAAACCCTTGTTTTAGCTTCTTGAGGAAGTTTGAAACTCTTGAACCTTTGCTCTAGCTTCTCCAAGAAGCTTGAACCTTTGCTCTAGCTTCTCCAAGAAGCTTAAACCTTTGCTCTAACTTCTCCAAGAAGCTTGAACCCTCTTGTTTCTCTATAAGAGAGGGCCTCCCTCTCCGTTAGAGAGGTTGAAAAAAAAAATTGTCTAAGGAAAAGCACATATATCTCTCTATATCTCTACATTCTAGGCTTAGAAATGGTGTTTGTTCTTGGCCTTTAACACCACACCTCATAGCCACACACCTCCACCATTGATCTAAGGTTCTTGGAGGGTCTTGAGAGGTCTCAAAGAGCTGGTTTTTGGTCCAAGAAGTTGTTGGTTTTGCTGAAGCTACAAGGGTAACACACTATTCCCTCTTTTAAGCTTTATTTTGCTCCATCTTTTAGCCATACTTGCAAGCATATTTAAGCTTCGGTGTAAACTGAAAAAAGTCTTAGTTTGAGGCCCTTAACATGTTTGTTTAAAATCATGTTTCTGTTGGGGGTCATCTACCCCCTTGCATGCTTCATTTTACCTTGTTTTGAGCCACACCTTAGAGCATTTGTGTTGGCCTTTGTTTGGCCTTTTAACCACTAAAATCCAGTGGATTTTCAGTGGCTACCATGCTGTTTTGAGTGCCAAAATCAGAGAAGGGTAACCCTCTCTCTCCTTCTTTTATTTTCTAACATTTTTGGCCTTACAAAGGAGCCCTTATTTGCATGCTTCCCAGCCATGTTTCAGGCCATTTTTGATGAGTTTTAGGACCTACATAGGCTCTGTCCAAAGCTTGTTTTGCCATATTGGATGTCCATCTTGCATGTGTAGAATAACCCTCTTCATAGCATATCAAAAGAGCATCTCATTCTTGCATGCATTAACCATGTTTCAGTGGATTTTTGGACTTTATTTGGCATGTCATACCTCTGACTTTTGCTGGTTTAGTGGCCTCTTGATTGCCTCACATGCTTGTAGTGCAAATCCTCTTTACTAGCTTACATTGCATGCTATTTTGGCCTTTGATTCTAGCACTTTTTGGCCATGCCTTAAACTGATTTTGTGCATGTTTTGGACTGACTTAGCTCTGTTTTTGGGCCTCATGGTCGAATGACGTTTTCTATGCATGGTTGTAGTTCAATACCCTTGCCTAGCTTTGAGTTTTGAAGCCTATTGCATGTGTATTTTGAGGTGTTTCCATGTTTTGGCATCATTGTGAATCATATTTCAGAGATTATATGTATGCCATATTCTCATGTTTTCCACTCTTTAAATGCGTTTGAGAGTTATGCATGAATACCTCATTTTTGGACCATTGCATGAGTTTCATTTCCATGCTTTGCGAGCCATCATTTTAGTCCATATTTGCTACTGTTTTGGCCTATATAGGGACTGTTTGGGGCTGGTTTGGCCATTTGAGTATTGCTTTGCATGCCTATAGTGTAATCCACTTCACTAGTTCCGGTATTTAGGCCATCTAGCATGCATTGTGTGAGGTGTTTGCATGATTCGAGACCATCTTGCATGTCATTTCAGAGCTGTAAAATATGTGATTGTATGCCATATTTCATGCTTACCATGCTTTGGTGGAGTTGCACTTTGTGCCTTAGGTTTGGCCCTGTGCATTTGTGCATGTTTGCATGTGTGTTGTTGCTTCATTTTCATCATTTATGGCCATTGATTTGAGTGTGGCTGAAGCCCATTCATTTTAGTTTAAGTCCATCTTGCATTATGTATACCATATCCATGTTGTCACATGCTTGATCGTCGCATTGTGTATGCATTGTTCATGTCTTTGTGCATGTCCATCTTCATATGTGCATTGCGTATGCCATATAGTTCATATGCATTGAGTATGTCATTCTTAGTTCATAGCATTGTGTATGCTAGTTGCATGTTTGCATATCATCCCTCGCATGCTAGCATGATTAGATTGCATTGAGTTTAGGGTTGCATGCTAGTCGTATTGTGTATGCCATGTATATTGCATTGTGTTTGGAATAGGGTTTAGTCCAAACACGGGAAATGAGGAACGTTTCGTACTCCAAGTGACGAAACGTGCCTTGATTCTCGGTTGCCGACACTCCGGATTATCCATGATGGAGTTTAGGCCTTGTTGTGTTTATATGTGCATTCATTTTACATCGAGCCATGCAATCTGACTCCTCAGCCATCATGCACCGAGATGCGTGATTGGTGGCACGAGGATCGATGACTACACTCCCTGGAGCTTGTGCAATGATGGGGAGAGTGGTTATGCACACATATGTTGAAAATACTTTGCCATGCCCCTTTTTCGCTCTCTGTTGCAGCAAACCGGAAACCAGCAGCAAAAACTGGTCAGCAGCCTTCTGGAGCTTTGTACAGTGTTCTGGGACCAGTTGCAAACAGAGGCAAATCAGG